AGGTGATTTTTTTTTCATGATTGTTCATCGTTGCATTTGTCATAATGCTCCAAAATTCACCTGGGCACAGTCCTGGCTGTCCCCCCCCGTCCCCCCCGTCCCAGGGCCTGTGAGCACACTACCCCATCTACTATCCATCCATCATGGCATGACTTTTGACACACAAGCTTACCAGTATATTCTGCACATTACACTTATAACAATGTGAAAATGCGTTGGTGTTGTATAATAATGAAGTACTATAGGTTTTGACATGAGGCAGTTTATGCTAATTCCCTTAAACTTCTCCAGACTGCCAAAAAAATGTTGATAACCGTAGCAAATGGTAGCTAATGTAGCAGCTATCAATCAGCCTAATGGGGTCAGCTACCAGGCCGCTAATCATCACTTGCCAGTCTAGCCAGGCAGACTTATAAGCAAAGAGGTTGCCTCCAGCAGCCGGCCAATCACAAACGACACAGGAGTGACATCAAAAGGCGTCGACAATCACACTGAACTTTTTCAATGCAAACCCTTAATAAAAGTGCCTTTAGCACTGTAATGTATGTCCTGTCATGAATGTTGCGCTGTGGCTTCAGGAGGAATGACATTTTCATTTCACTATGAACTGAACATGCCTGAGATGACAGTAAAGCTTTACTTCACTTGAATAATAAACGTGATGAGGAGGACACTTACCATTGTGAGGAGCCCTCAGTTCCGCTGACCTCCAAGACGTCATAGTCATCCTCCAGCTGGAAGTCGGTGAAAACCAGGGCGATGGTGTCTCCGGGCTCGGCCAGCACCGTCCACGTGCAGTCGGCGTTGTTGTTGTAATCCTGGGGGTAACTGGGGCTGGTAATGACCCCGCTCTGGCCCCGCAGGGTGCCTCCGCATCCATCATCCGCTGTGGGACGGACACACAAAGATGGATACACACAAAAGTCACAGGATTTACACACGCAAACCCTGTGAAATAATCCTTTAATGACTTCTGTGCCTTTCTTTAAAAAGTAAAAAATAAGGACATTTGCAAGAAAAAAAAAATCATTAACTCTGATAAAGAACTCAAAAACAGCTTGGGGGACTTGTCACAATGGGTGATGTAACGATCTGTAATGTAGGTGCGAAAAACAGCATTTTGCTAGTCATTTGTGCTGACCTGAAATAAAACTTAATACTAGAAATAAGCGTTGTGTTGATAATTGCGCCCCCTGGCTGTTTCAGTAAGAGGGAGGCTCCTGTCCACAGCAACTTGACAGCTGTAAGGAAAAAAGACCAAAGTGCTGCCAGGTTAGCAGAAAAAAAAATTGCAAACATTAGCCTGTTACTGTTTCAGTGCCTGTGGTAGGTGAGATTCCCATAGCAATCTCTATGTAGCTTAGAGACAGAAATACACAGCAGGAAAAGGTCCTGTAAGTTAACAGAGGATTTCAGGTAGTTCAGTTTATTGACCGGAACTGATCCATCTTTCAATCAATCCATCTTCTATAACCGCTCTTTCAGGACATGGTCGCTGTGAGCTTGGAACCTATCCTAAGCAGGACAGGGCACAGGGCAAGGGACACCATATACAGTATGCCAGTCCCTCACGCATCACAGTGCAGGGCACACCATAGACAGGATGCCAGTGCCTCACACATCACAGTGCAGGGCACACCATAGACAGTATGCCAGTCCATCACACATCACAGTGCAGGGCACACCATAGACAGGATGCCAGTCCATCACAGGGCACAAGGGATGGGACACCCTAGATGCTAGTCCATTATCTATAGCCGCTTGTATTCATTCCATTTATTCATTTATGCTGTCTGTTGTATTTTTACAGAGCCATTCAGGTAACTTACAGAAATGTCCAACAGGAGACTCTCCTCCTGGTTGCAATTCAAGACCTTTAGTAACTATTGTGATGTCTGCTAGTGCAGGTATTCCAAAGGGAGATCAAGGACAAGTTTTTATCCAAAGGGCATAAGAAAACTGAAAAGTCACAGATTTGTATTTCACTTTAACAGTAATACTGCTGGGCTGCCAGGGTGATACAGTCTTATATAAGTGTGGCAGCAGCTTGCCACTTTATCTCTCCTCATCTTGTACGGCCGCACATATTGTCTACTATCCACTGTGTTATTTATTGCTCTCTGCATATCTGCCACCATGAGTCTGTGGGTTATCATGCAAGGAAGAATCTCACTGTCCTTGGTACGCATCACGACGCAACTCTCCAGTCCACTGAATGCTTCAGTTTATCCCAAGGCCGGGTTTTTTAGAAAGCGCTCATCCTGAGTTGCCCAAGAGGCAGATTTCATGTCACAGGTGGAGAAATTCCGTAGAGAGCGGCTTAGTAAATGGATGATTGATTCCAGGAAGAGGAGCTCATCTTCTGCATGCCATGGATCCTGTCAATCAGCTGCCACCACTGAGAAGCAAGCCAGAGGAGTGATGGGGGAGGGCTGCTGGCGATAGGGGTGGTCACAGTAAATTCAGATCAAAGGAAGCTTTCATAAGGGAAACTCCCATCTTCTGTTCCACCCAATTTGGATCTGATTTTCACTTGCACCTGCCCATTTTCCAGCATCCTCTCGATTTTGATACGATTCCTGCGTGTACCTGCTCATTTTCGAGGTGATGAGATGTCTGATTTAGGACAGTCTTCAACAGGAAGACCTGTGACAGGCTTCCATCAAAAATCAAAAAGAGACATAATTGTGGTTTTATTCATGTTATTGCAATTTCAGGTAACAGTTTCCATTGCAGGCAAAGAACAAGCCATGAGATAAAACAGAACTAATTCTGGAATATTAGACCTCTTCTGCATCGCAGACAAAACACCCAGAGGTATAAGCTTATAATATTATATAAGTTTCGCAAGAAAAAATGTTAATTATACTTTGTGTTAAATTCTGTTATTAATGGTTCCTAAAAAGAATGACTTATGGAATACATATATTTTCATTCAATGTCATACTCTTAGTTTTTACACACACACAGACACACACACACACTCACACAGGTTTGTAATTATATCTTTGTGGGGGGCTCTCTATTTCTATGGGGAAAACTCCCCACATGACAACCTGAACCCCTACCCAGCCCTTAACCTTAACCATAAGTAACTAAACAAAATATGTTTTTTATATATATATAAAACATATTTTGAAAACACAAGTAAAGGCATTTTTGTGTTCTTTTATTTTAATCAATCTTCTTGCTCAGCTCTCTGGTTGTCATAGTTACAAGGCTGAGAGAGGTCCACCTCTAAGCCAGCAGCAGCATACAGTAAATAAATTGTTTTGGTAAAGATCCAGCCAACTCAATGAATTTAATCCAACTAATACTAATACTGCCACAGAAACACAGATTGCAGTGATCCAGGCTTTTGCAGAATGTCAGGCAGTCACTAAACTACCCGTGACATTTAGAAACCACTTAGGAATAGCCTGTAAATTCAGGAGCATGTTTTAGAAAACACGGGTTTTAGGAACAAAACAGCAAAAGTGCATTTTGCAGAAAAGTATAAAGTAATATAGACCCAAAAGAGCCTAGAAAAAAATCACAAGAAATCTGTGCGTTTTAAAAATACACTGTATAAAAGACAGTTAAATAGCACGCTCTATGGGTGGTGCAGGAGAAGCAGGAAGAATTCTTGTAGTAAGAACCCATTACTGTCTGTTCCCGCTGACTTCCTTCGGTTAAACACATTTTTAGCCCACATATCTTGTAATCAGGGCTTGAGAGCTTCAGAGACGAGACGCTGTTCTGTTTTACTTATTGTGACATTTCAACATGCCGCTCACCACATACCATTCCCCCTTTTCAGGGCAACAAGTACATTAGAGGGTTAGATGACCGTTCAACCACCATCTACAGATCGAAATTCATGGACCCGCCACTCAGCGACTGCACTCCTGTGAAACGGAAATCGAAATCGAATTATAACCTGGCCTTTGCGAGTCAACCAACCACCAAGCCACGGACACTGAGCGTGTGGCACAGAAACGGTGTGTCTATAAGGAATTTCATATAGATCAAAGTATGAATTGTATATTGATCGCGTATAAATTATATATGCATACATGGAGAATCATGGCATGATTTGAATTTGTATAACCAATGCAGCGAGAGAGTGAGACGGGAGCAAAGGGCCGCCTGTCATCCTCCACATATGGAAGAAGCTTAGCCTTGGACTTATCTTGCTAACAGTATTGCGCTAACAAGGGACAGAGCTGGCCGGCTGCCCTCGGGGTCAAATTCTCTGCCTCAGTGGCTCCAGGGACACGTCTAAGAGGGCTCCTCCTGGCCAAGCGGACGCACACATGTGGAGACGGAGCCGCTCTCTGCCAGCAGCCTCCTGAATCTGTGTGGGCTTTTAAGCAGCCAAAACGCAGGCTTGCCGTCTCTGGCCGTGATAGAAGGTAATAGCTCTCAAGGCATGGACCAGAGAGGAGAATGTCACGTAACACAAAAATAACCTAATTAATCCCACTGTCTGCATTCATTACTTGATTTATATGGACCCTCTTGTTCTGTCTTTTCCTGTCTGTCTATGACGTGTATGTCGGGGATGCTTAATGGACTGGGAACAGGGGAAATGCTACTTTTTGGCAATTCAGGACAAGATGTGCTTTTAAAACTTATACTGGAGAGGTGATGTAAATCAAGAGACAGCTATTGCTGAAGTGGAGGTGCGGGGGTCATTGAAGTAATGGATAAATGTAAATGACCTGCAGATATCAGCAGAAAACTACTGTGATAATATGCATTAATCAATTAAAAAGCTCAATGCATGGCAGAAGTAAAGGTGTAAATAAGGGATATTTACAAAAGCAGATCCTGGGTTTTACTGAACCCTGGGTGGTAACCAGGGGTTACTAACATTGATGAGCAGGAAGGAGGAAGTGCAGAGTTTGCAGTTCAGGCTAAGTTTGGGTTTGTGGGAGGGTGGGGGTTGCAGTTGGATGGACAGAACAGTGACGCTACTGTGTCCATTCATTGAGCAGCCTCAGGTGGGCACTGGCAGTAGGGGGAGGGCCCTTCCTGGCGACCCGTACCCTGCCATGTGTGTTCATTGGAGGGCATCCTGACAGGCAGCCAGGGTCCAGATGGCTCCCTCGCAAACTGGACCGCTCAGTGGCCAATGTGACATTAAGCACAGTAACAGAACATAGCAGAGTTAAAAATATAAAGAAACACCAAAATAATAACCGTTCGGTGCTTGTGTATGTTTTACAAAGACATCAGTCCTCATTACTTTCATTAGACTTAATTAGTACATAGTTAAAGATTCCAAATATTAGACTGGAACACTAGGGTAAGTAACATACTAAAACAAGCAATACAAAATCGTCCATTCTGCAATTGTTCGTGCTAGCGGGCTCTCACCTCTACAGTAAGGCAGCGGGAAATCCCAGGAGGCCGTCCCAGAAGAGGTGGCCAGGCAGGATAGCACAGTGTGCCCCTCCAGGACATAGCCAGCACTGCAGCTGTAGCGGATTTTGTCCCCGATGTTGAAGGTGGATCCCTGCTGGAAGCCGTTCTGAAGCTGTCCTGGGTTCCCACAGGTATAGCTGGGCAGGGCTAGAGAAGGACACACCTCTATTTTAATGGTAGATTGAAACATTCCCATATGTTCATACAGAAGCAAATCAGATGATTCATAAGCATCTCTATGTTCTAGAGCAACAGGTGGTCGTTCAGTGAGGAGCACACTGCTGGACGTTTGAGCCTCCCATTCCTCAACCACAGTGTGTAATGTGATGACGCTGAACTCCACAATCCCCTTCAGCTTTATCCAATTCTGATACCGGGAAGAACACACTGTGGCTTCAGCCATCTGCTAAGTATTTTTAGGACTGTGGTTGAGAGTATGTGAAAAACCAGAGCTAGTCATTCTATTTTCACCCTGCACAAAACAGTAAACAGATGCTGACAGGTTGTAATGGGATTGCAAAATTGCCTTCGACTTGCACAGGCCCCCATTACGCATGCTGATAAGTGTGCAGCCGTCCCCAAAACCCTGTGACCCCAGACCTGGCTCCTTCTGAACAAGGAGGATGACACTTCAAATACCTCACTGGTCAAGACAATGCTCTTGAACAGGAAAACTATTTATACAGTCACACAAGTACTTCAGCATTATCAGAAAAGTGCAGGTTAAAAAGGGCATTGCTATTGTTGGATAACTTGCAGACAGACCACCAATCAAAGAGAAGCAATAGTACTGCAGCAATAACAAATGTGTTATCCAGAAGGGCAGGTTTAATGAAGAACTGAAACAAATTTTTAAAGACAGCCATTTTATTAGAATGTCAGACTACTTTCATTTTAAACTTCGGAGTGATAATAATAAGACCAGTGCCATCTACCACTGTGAAGTACTGTCACATTCCAAACACAAAAGAGGCAGATGCAGGCGGGAAGGCAAAACAATGAGGGGTTCATCAAAGGAACGGGAACAGGGCGAACAAACATAGACCACATAGGGTCAGACAAAAGGCAACACTGACAATATGGGAAACCGCTGGAACACACACTAGGGTGATGTCAATGACCGGACTGGGGAGCACAGGACAGGAAGGCATTCTCATACACGACTAACAAGGCAGCAGACAAGGGGCAGCTGGAGTGATTCGCACAAGGGCTGATACGAGAGGCAAGACAAATGATCATCAGGTGTGGCTTGTTGGAGCCACACTAGGGAGAGAACAAGAGGGGCAGGGATGCAGGGCATGACAAGCACAATAATTTTTTAATCTACAAATAACAGTCTAGCCAGTTTCAGAATCCTAGCTTCCCATCTTCTTGTGCATGTCTACTTTAAAATTAACCCAAAATGACATTTTTGTGTTCCTGACCCACCTACCCAAACTGACAGAAGCACAGGTCAGGAATCAATGGCCTGAATAGCACCAGCAGAACCATCTCCTTTTCCAGTACAAAGCACATCTGCCGCGGAATTTTCCACAACATCAGAAAGAGTCACACACTGTTTATTTCATCCTTCATAACATTTGTCCTAACCCTGAAAGCCACGTTGCCATGTTAAGAGTGAGGCGGGAAGCACAGCTACAGGTCAAAAATAATGGCACATCACTCTCTCCTTCCAGAACATGTCTGAAGAACGAGGTTTACTGAGATAAATAGGCTATAGCATGGTGTTAGCAATGACGAGTGCGATTTTGTCATCATATCGGAGCACATGGCCATTGACCAACTGGCCACATCAATTTGCACAACATTGTTTTCTTTTAACACAAGGCAAACTCACTACCATAGTTAACAGATACTGAAAGCTAGCCTGACGATGCAAATACTGCAAATAAAAAACCCTTAAAGTTTGATTCATCTGTATCTGTGACAGAAACGTTGAGAAAATGGAAGCTGGAAGAAGGCACTGCCATGGTGAATGAAGACAGCAGGGTTTTTTTTTTTTTTTAAATATGTGGCCAAATATAATAACACATACAGACATGCAAAAACATATTTTGCTATATTGTCCAGTGTTTGAAAGGTAAAAATCACTCTAACTGAATTTAACTGAATGTTTAGAGCACATTACACAGCTCTATATATTGTAGCTTATTTACCTACTTCAATTAGAATGCAGCATGCAGTGTACAACCACAGTAGCATTAACATTACTGTTGTTATCAATGCTGCATTTCACTGTTTTCCACGCTGGATGCCCATATCCATCAGTATGTGAAGGAGAAAAAAACTGAGCAAGCGTCTAAGTGAAAATGCCCCCAAAACAACATCTATTACCCATTTTCAACTCAAATCACGTTCAAGGCTCTTTAAAGTGGACCGACATTCACTGTAGATAACCTCAAACAAACCCATGTCAAGGACTATGATATGTCACTCTATACACTTCAAGGTATTTTTTAACTCATTATAGTCCCCGTTTTAATGTGCTTGTGTCCGGGTCATTAACTGTTTGATACAGTCACTCTGAACTCTGATTTTACAGAAGGATGTGCCATTATATTTGAAAGCAGGGGTGAACATCTATCCCCAGCAGAAGTCCCCTGCTGTTCTATCACAAACTACAGCTATAGCACAAACTATAGCTATAACTGTTCCTTAAGATCAGGGTGCAGAGTGCTTACAACACACCAAGAATAACTTGAGCTTCAGGTTTATTCGTCACCTGGTCTGCATCTCACGGTTGACTAAGCATCTCTGTCTCCTCAGTCTAATGTTATCCACACCTGTGGGGAGGTCCGGAGCCGTCACACGCATTCATGCCCCTGACACTTCATTCATTCGGCATCCACTTTTCACACGCAGCTTCAGGCTTGTCACGCTGGCCAAAGCAACTTAGCTGCTTCTGATACCTTCAGGGATGCTATTTCCTGCTGAAATGCCAGACCCACTGTCCATCCGCGGTGCCCCCAAGACCATTCGGGTCGGAGAGATCCCCGGACTGACATCACCCTAATTCTCTCTGTGGTTCAGCGTCACAACTTTATCTGCCTTTTCCCAAACCAGAGCACTGGGAGTAAGGCTGCGAGTCTAAGCCCCTGGAAGAAAAAGGGCTGCAAATTTCAGTTTTCAGCTAAGCTAACGGGGTATGATTTCTATTAGAACCGCTTCCCCTCTTCAAAACGCCTTGTCCGACACACTAGAGAAATAACTGAAATACCACGGCAAGGTGAGCTCATGTTAATGTTACTGCTTTCAAAACGGCCTCCCTGGCACCATAATATTTGTATTTTCTTTGATATCAGACAAATGATGCATGTTTCCACACCGCTGTCTGTGTCCCCTCTTTACCATTTCATGAGGTACATAAGAGGAGTTAAGCTTCAGTGCTAGGGCGAGTGGTTAAACAGGGTAGAGTCTGTTTGAACAACAGCCTGAAGCCAGACAACTAAAAACTGTAACAATAACCCTCATTCGAAGCCCAGAACTACCCAAAATCCCAGATATTTTCACAGCAGTAATGGAAACTGGTGCCTTTGCATGTATATATTAATAGTTCATCCTCGTATGTCCTTTACATTGAACACGCACATTCATCCCAAGCGACCGCCCTACCCTAAAAATAGCTGCAGTCGGACGGGCCGGTTTCCCCAGGTAACGATGCAGCGGCGGAATGTCACCGCCTATGCATCGCTCTGCCTCCTTTCCTGCGCCTCGCTGTTTATATCTGTCTGCCGCCTCGCACTGCCACGCTACGCTGTTTCACGGGCTCTTCTTTAAGCATCTCGCGGGGGGATGTAGGGAGAGCATCAGGTGGTGTGCCCCCCTCCCCCGTAAAACGCGAGGCCTAACGAGGCCGCCAGCGATCTGCCGTTCCCCCGCGGGGCCCTTCACGGCAGCTTGAGGGGGCCGTGAATGGCGGCCGAATCTGAGGTGCTGCAAGAGACGGTGACAGTGGGTGGTGGGAGCCAGCACACAAACCAGTATCACCAGCTGAGACATGATCAGGCTCTGCAAGGTAAACCAGACATTCTACCATAATAATGTTTACTGTATATTGACATGTTTATATAGACATTTCCATTATATTATATACTGCCGCTACATTTTTTCCCCTGTATTTCTACAAACAGTATACTCTATATTCTTTTACTGCAGTGTACATATTGTACTGTTTTGCACATATTTGATTTACTCCAAAATGTCTTGTACTGACATGTACTCCTGCACTTTTTATATATCCCTTCAACCACACCTGCACATGTATATTAACCAAACTATGTGTGACTATTGTCTTGCCTGCCTTAAAAGTGTTTGTACCTACTGTACACGAGAGCCATCGAAAACCAGACACACATCTGACCAATAAGCCTGATTCTGATTCTACAGAAGGATGAACATATTTAGGGATATGAATCTACAACTGGTTGGTGAACCAAAAGGAGGGTGTGATCTCTGGATAAATGCCACTTTCTTTGTCCCCACACTGGGCATGACATTGTGAAATTGATCCCAGCACATGGCTGCATTAGTCTAATGGGCAGTTTCTTCTTGTCGAATAGCCGTCCAATCAGGACACCCTCCTTGGGGCCCAGCAGACTGCACCAACCCTGCAAGCCACTCCCCCCAAGGGGCCACGGGGGTGTTCCCTCCTGTTTGCACACCCAATGTGCTGCTAAAGTGCCATCCATAATCTGGCTTGCTTAATGGTGTTTGTATAAATGTGATTCCACGCTGATTCCACGTGTCTGTGTTTCCTCCCGCTTATGAGGAACAGCACCTCTCGCTTGATTTCCTGGGTTCTCCTACCTCTGTAGGACTCTAGCTCACTATGTGCAGTTCACCTTCAGGTACAGTATTAAATGAAGTGTCCAGTGTGTGTATGGTTGCCACAGTAACCTGTGCATGATCTGACCTTAATTCTCCAGTGTCCTACTTCACACCTGTGTCCTTATACACTGTTAACTCCTGAGCCTGTTGTCTGTGAAAAGCCTCTTCCAACTTTTTAATGAGTGAAAAGTATAAGATGGAGCCTCCAGTTACACTTGTCATTTCTAAGGGCAATGTGTTAAAAACGGTAAGCTCTAAAGCTATCGATTTCCGTTTGTTGTGTCTTGATGAGAATTTCAAGCCTGAGATTATTTTTTTTT